ATGATCAATTGCTTTCTTGGATTAAACTGATGGTTCTAAATGAAAAACAAATTAGGTGCAGATGTTCAGTATATTGAGATTAATTTTATTCTCATGGGTAAACCATTTCTTCAGTTTCTTGGACTAACAGTAATTTGTTTCCAGAGAAGTGAACATGTGCCAAAATAACTAAGCCAAGCAGCACAGCTTAGTAAGTTTTTCCACACACATATATATAAAGTAGATAAATGTTTCCAATAAACAAAAGGTCTCGCATTTGTATTAGTAATGACTTTCTATAAAAGTAAAATAAAATCCATTCAACCAAGACATGTCAGAACCTACTAGATTCAGACAGATTCAAAAACAAACAAAAAGAGCTACTTGCCTGGGGCTCCAGCCTAGTAGAAAAGAGACAAATAAGCAATAATTAAAATATAAGGTAATGGGGCTCAAATAGAGATGGCAGCAAAACAATTTGGGAATATGAGCTTTTCCCACTAATGAACCCAAGAAAAGATAACATAATATAGTTCACTATCACACACACACAAATACTAAAAACATAATAAATAATATATGAGAATGTTTGGTCTTCTCACGTCAGTAATAACAATGACTATATATTATGGGTATAGATATTTTATAAAACACTTATGTATTACAAGGTAGATCAATCAGCTTTAATTATCATTTAATATCTTCATCCATGATCTTTGTAAGCAACTTAAGAGCAGGAATCATGTTGTCCACCTTTGTGTTCCAAGGCCCAACACGATGCCTGTTACATAATAGTTTTAACACATGTTGAATGAATGAATGTATACACATATACACGAGTGTTCATCATGACAAAAATAGCATACTTCTGCATTCATGGATACCAGAATTGAGTGGGACAGACAATACTTGGAAAGGATATTTGATATACAATATATCAGAAGGTTCACTAAGCAAAGGGAAATGAAGTTTAATAGGGACGGGTACTGAGAGCACCTATCTATAAGTTAACATATGTGATTCATTTTTTTCATATTCTCTCTAGTTGTATAATTATGACTACATAGTAGATATTCAACAAATGCTTGTTGAATGAACACTTCTATCTCCATAATATATCTCTTAAACCCAACTCCTCTCTATTGGCCTGAACTATAATAGCAATCTATGGATCTCCACTCTTTCGCTTCCAAAGTAGCTTTAGTTGCCATATTAGTCCCCCTAAAACACACTGATCATGTAACTTTTATTTTCAAATTTCCCAAAAGGCTCCCTAGTATTCAGGATCCCTCATTTGAAAAAAAAAAAAAAGAAATGCATAGGGAGTTCATAGTACAAAAGCCTGGAACTGACACAGAGCAGATACTAAATGGCCAAAAATTAATGAACTAGGTTGTGTTGGGAAAATTAGTTATCCATATACTTTAAAGTGAGAATGGATCCCTATACAAAAATCAATGTTATGTATTAAGAGATTTAAACATAAAAGAAAATATAGGATAATTTAAAACAATCTCTACTCAGCTCTCTAGTCTCCCAGCTGTTGTTTAATACTAGGTTTCTTAGAGCACCACCGTATACAAGCACAGTTTAGCAATCTGCTAAAAACTTGCGAGGAATTTGTATCCAGATTCTTGCATTCCTTCTCTGCAATTCCCTCCTCTCCAGGATTTTGACCTTCAAGTTATAGCCACTATTATCTCCAAACTCTGCCTCAGTTTCTTCAGCCCGGTAAGACTACTGCGTCCTGTTAGGGTTGTATTCTTTTGCATTCCAATTTGGAAAATGCCATAAAGAAAAGGCCAGGATGAATGTGGTGCTCACTTCATGTGTTTCTCATCTTTGAATGATTATAGTCTCTTAGATCCTGCCTGTGCTGATTGTTCTCAATGCCTTCAAACAGTGTATACAGTATTTTATTCAGTTTTTACAGATTTTTTTTGATAGGCAAGTTAGTTTAAAATAAGCCATTATGGCCAGAATCGATGTCTAGTTATGAAACTGTCTTGTTGGTTTCTCATTTTTCTGATTCCTTGTTTTTTTAATTTTTTTTTAATGTATTTACATTTTTTTTTTGAGGCAGGGTCTCACTCCAGTCCCCCAGGCTGAAGTGCAGTGGTGTGATCTCTCCTCACTGCAGACTTCCTGGGCTCAAGCGATCCTCCCACCTCAGCCTCCTAAGTAGCTAGGAGTACACGTGCTCACTACCATGCCCAACTAATTTGCGTGTGTGTGTGTGTGTGTGTGTGTGTGTATTTAGTAGAGACAGGGCTTTGTCATGTTGCCCAGGCTGGTCTCAAACTCCTGCCCTCAAGTGATCCACCCATCTTGACCCCCTAAGGTCCTAGGATTACAGGTGTGAGCCACCACGCCCTGCCAGATTCCTTCTTTTAACTATAATGTTAAATAAAATAGGTATTTTTTGAGACAGGGTCTCACTTTGTTGTCCTGGCTGGTCTGAAACTCCAAGGCTCAAGCAATCCTTCCACCTCAGCCTCCCAAGGAGCTAGGACTACAGGTGTGTGCCACTACACCCAGCTAATATTTTTTTGTTTTAAATAAATAGAGTCCCTCTATGTTGCCCTGGCTGGTCTCAAACTCCTAGCCTCAAGAGAGCCTTTTGCCTGGCCTTTCTAAAGTGCTGAAATTACAGGTGTGAGCCACTGTGATTGGCTGATTTCTTCTTTCATATCTTTAAGCACTCCATCAGTGGTTATTTTATATTGTGTCTCTAATGATGCCAATCACTGATTTTTTCATAGACTAACTCTGTTTGTTGTTTCTGCTGACTCTTATTCATAGTAGATTGCTCCCTTATGTGTTTGGTGATCTTTCATTGTCAGTTCATGTTTGGTTTATTTAATATGGGGAAATCCTGGAAGTTTAAGGTGAAGATGTTTTCTCTAAAGAGAATTTGTGCTTGTGTCTGTTTGGAGGCAAGGAGTATTACAGCCTTGGGACATATTATCTCCAGTTATTCTTTGAAAATTATTTGTAGATCATTTACTATCTTATTCCTTAATCAAAGATAGTATACACTATCTTTGATTTCTGAATGCTGGTGCTTTGTATAAAGCACAAATGAACGAACACAATGCCCAGATTTGATTGGACACAGGAGAATACTAAAGAATTATTACTATCCTTTGCTGGAAATTCAGATCCATTACTGCTTTTAGCAAGCATGTAAAAACAAACAGCAACACAGAGAAAGGAAGAAAATGCATAATTATCAGATACTTGAAAGAACGTGAAATCTGTTATGAAATCAACTTTGTAAATACTGCCATATAAATCATAGTTCTATTAATTCTTTGATACTATGAAAAACTTATAATTAAAAAAATCAAAGTAGAAACAAAAAAACAAAAGAAAACAATGCATGGTATCTGATGAAAAGATTACAGCTAACAAGTCTGGTTTTACATTGCTCTTCTTTCAACCATCTTGGTCATATAATACTTCCACAGGATGTTATACTATTGGATCATCAACTGAAATCCTCACTTGTTCCATGTAATCTGCTTGCCGTTAAGCTAGGTTCCTTCACTTCACATTTTTGAAGCTGAGTTTTACACCTAAATCAATCATAATGAAAAATCTGAAGGGTATCAAAGTCCTAATTTTGTGGCTATTCCCAATGTGAACTGTTTGCTCTTTTATGATAACAAGTTAAATGGAGTTAACCTTTCTCGAGTGAATAATTTCATCAGCTGACAAGCCTAAATGAAAGGTTATAAATATCCGAGCAGTAGTTAAAACTGAGATTGAAAATGAGGGAGATTTTTTTTTAAATTACTATAATAAAAACCAAATTCAAGAGAAGCAACTTTGGAAATAACCTGCAGACCTAACTGAGAAGCGCATATAACTAGCATATTCAGTAGTATAACTCAATGTCAGCCTCTTTTTATGCATTCAACTAATGAAAGGTATTTTTCTAACCCCTTAATTAGCTATATCTGATTCACATTTTTAAATAGAAAATAACTCTAACAGTTCCCGCTGGATCTAACTCATTTTAATTGCTTTTTATTCAAACAATTCAGAAATCTAAAGTAACAAAAAGAAAATACCAGGACTGGAAATCTATTTTATAGAACAAAATTTTATGGAGGAAAAACAGTTTTTAGGTGAATAAGTCTTTAAATAAATGTAGAAGCTTCCTATTTTATCTGTTTGATGGCTTTAATCTTAAAAATCTGAGCTCTTAATAATACATTTAAAAATGTGAAATCACTGAATTGGCAACATAGTTTTAGATTTTTAAAAGTTGAAAATACAATCAGAAAATAAATTTATTTTATGCCTCTTAATGCCACATATTTCAAGAGATATTTCAACCTTTTAAATTAAATTAAATTAAATTAATTAATTAGAGACAGGGTCTTGCCCTGTCATTGAGGATGGAGTACAGTGATGTGAACTCAGTTCACTGCAGCCTCAACCTTCCAGGTTCAAGTGATCCTCCCACCTGAGCTCCACAAGTAGCTGGGATTGCAGGTGTGTGCCACCATGCCCAGCTAATTTTTAAATTTTTTGTAGAGATGTGGTCTCGCTATGTTGCCCAGGCTGGGATTTCGACTTTTTACAGTAAAAGTAACACTCATTAAGGAAAAAATTTTAAACCGTGAAAAGGAAAAAAATTCCACATATGTTCCCCAAATTTAAACCTAACCACTATTAATATCTTTGAGTACTTCTTTTTGGTCTCTATTTTTTCCCTATACACAGATTGGTAACATAGTTTGATCACATTGTCTATATAAATTTGATCACTTTTTTTCCAATAAACTTTAGATCATAGAATAAATTCTACTGTTCAAGGAACCTGGAATGCAGCTGCTGATAGTTATCTGTGCTTTTACTCTCTGTAGCTTAACGACAGCTTTTAGAGAAAATATATAAAATCTATGAGTCATGCACTTGAGACTTTATTATCTGTCCATTGCATAGTTTCACTAATCAACTAGCAGATATCACACAAAACATTTACTCTTCAAAGAAATTTTACTTCTCACCTTCTGGGCTGCAAGATGGAGGGCTGTTCTCTGGCTATGGTCAGTTTTATTCACATCTGCTCCTGCCTTCAGGAGAGCATCTGCACAATCCAATCTGTCAGCCAACACGCAATACATAAGTGGTGTTCTCCCAAATTGATCTTCTTTGTCTTTAAGAGCAGAGTTTCCTATGAGGACAAGAAACAGATAGTGATATTTGATAATTGTTATTACTAATATAAGTAGGAACTATATTTGCTATTTATTATCAAGCATTGTGCTAAATGCATTAAATATATAATCTTATTTTTACTTATCCTATGAAGTAGATACTACCATTGTCATATTATATGAAACTGAGGCTCAAAGTAGTTAAGTAACCAGTCTATGTTCACACTGAAAGCAGGTGGGGCTAGAATTTAAACTGATGACTCAATCATATTATGCTGAACGAACATTTTGAGATACAGAGCTACTTATGTTCCTCCCTCACTCACTCTTGTCTTTTGAAACAAATATTTAATTAATGCCAACTGTACACTAGGCATTGTGGTATGCTTTATGAGTGATACAAAAATGAATCATAGGCCAGGCATGGTGGCTCACACCTGTAATCCCAGCACTCTGGGAGGCCGAGGTGGGCAGATCACCTGAGGTCAGGAGCTCAAGACCAGTCTGACCAAAATGGTGAAACCCTGTCTCTACTAAAAATACAAAAATTAGCCAAGCGTGGTGGCAGATGCCTGTAATCCCAGCTACTCAGGAGGCTGAGGCAGGAGAATTGCTTAAACCCAGGAGGTGGAGGTTGTAGTGAACCAAGATCGTGCCGTTGAACTCCAGCCTGGACAACGAGAGCAAAACTCCATCTCAGAAAAAAAAAAAAAAAAGTCACGGTTGATTTCCCTTTCTAGACAAGATGACAAGCTAGAGCAAGTACACAGTATCCTCATCCTCCTGCTAATTACAACTAAAATCCCCAGGGCAAAAGGCAAAATAAATGACAGGCGGAGAAGGGAAGGTAGCCTTGACTAGGAACTTTGAAATTTGAGAGACAACCTGTAGTAAGTTCCCTGAAGCATTTTTTGTTTGCTCGTTTGCTTTTGCCTCCAATCTAGTAAATTATAGGCTACAGTAGCCTATAATCCAGAAGCACCAAGGCACACAGATGCCAAATGTCTCAAGAGAAGTCTACTCTCTCTAGTAAAAAGACTGGCAGGCAGGTAACTCTGCCGAGTGAACCATTTGACTACGCTGTACTCAAAACATATACAATAAAAGAAACTGTACCTCTTTTCCCCACTGGACACTATAGAGACTGTTGGGAGGAGCCCTGTCAAACTACCATGCCCCGAATTAAGCAAAGGATATCAATGAGGTAGTATTTTACCCCTTTCCAACTAGAGAGTAGGAGAGTAGGAGTATAGAGAGGACAAAGCTGGAGGAAGTAAGTCTTTAAATTGGTATAAAAAGTTAGGACACTTTGGTATAAAAAGGACACTTTTGAGCAGCCCATGTGTGAAACTGGTATGAATCAAGATAGCAAAAGCTCTGAGAATTGAACTATAGTTAGATTACTGCCTTGGTTCTAAATGGGCCTGAGCAGCCCAGAGGTGGGGCAAATCAAGAGCCCGGCAAGATCTCTGAAAACGAACTTGAAAATGAAACCACAAATTCGAAAGAGAATGTTCATTCTAAACCTTGACAGATTGTCCATTTACTAAAATAAGATCCAGAGTCTCATAATACAGAAAATGTCAAAGATATAATACCAAATTATGAAACAACTCAAAAGTTTAGAAAATATTAATGTAAACAAGAAAAGACAATCAACAGGCACTGACACTGTGATGACACAGATATATTAGAATTATGTGACAAGAATTTTAAAACAACTCTCATAAAAATGCTCCAACAATCAACTATGAACACTCATGAAACAAATAGAACATTAGGAATGAAAAAAGAGCAGCAGAATGTAAATATCTGAGAAAAATAATAGACTGTTTTTATCCTCTTTAGCTTTTTTTTTTTTTAATGAGGGTCCCACTGTGTTGCCCAGGCTGGTCTTGAACTCCTGGACTCGGCTCAAGCAATCCTCCCTGCCTCAGCCTCCCGAGTAGCTGGGGCTACAATGCATGCCTGGCTTACCCTCTTTAATTTTTAGAATTATGTTTCCATGATTGGAAGCAAAAATAACCTTGCTGTATGATGTGGTTGTCAGTTTATGTAGAGGTGATTTTTAAAATAACGATATCAAAAAGAAGGGTAAAGGGACCTAATTAGTGATAAGGCTTCTATATTGCACTCGAAGTGGAAAACACAGACTGTGATAAAATAACTATACATATTCTAATACCAGATCATACACACACACACACACACACACACACACACACACACTCAGAAACAAGTAAACAAAAAACCTCCAACAAAGACAAACTATACAAAGAGATTTATTTAAAAACACAATACAGACCCAGCAGGGTGGCTCATGCCTATAATTCCAACATTTTGAGAGGCCGAGGTGGGTGGTTCACTTGAGGCCTGGAGTTGGAGACCAGCCTGGCCAACATGCCAAAAACCGGTCTCTACTAAAAACACAAAAATTAGCTGGGTGTGGTGGTGTCACATGCCTATAATACCAGCTACTTGGGAGACTGAGGCATGAGAATCACCTGAACCCAGGAGGTGGAGGTTGCAGTGAGCTGAGATTGCACCACTACATCCCAGCCTGGATAACAGAACAAAAACCACAATATAAGATACCACTTCACATACACTAGGATGGTTATAATAAAAAAGATACATAATAACAAGTATTAATGAGAATATGGAGAAATCAAAACCCTCATATACTACTGGTGGGAATCTAAAATGGTGCAGTCACTTTGGAAAATATTCTGGAAGTTCCTCAAAACATTAAGTAACCATTTGACCCAGCAATTCCACTCCCAAGTATATACCCAAGAGAAATGAAGACATATGTCCACACAAAAACTAGTACACAAATATCCATTGCAGTATTATTCATGACAGCCAAAAGGTGGAAATAATGCAAGTATCCATAAGCTGTTCATCAACTGACGAATGGCTAAACAAAATGTTGTATACCTCTACAGTGGAATATTATTCAGCAAAAGGAATGAAGGTCTAATATATGCTCAACATAGATGAACCTTGAAAACATGCTAAGTGAAAGAAGCCAGTCAAAAAATACCACATATTATATATTTATGTGAAATATCTGGCACTGGCATATCTACAGAGACAGAAAGTAGATGAGTAGTTGCCTAGGACTGGGGGTTGGGCACAAATTTGAAGAGTAACAGCCAAAGGGTGAAGGGTTTCTTTGTGGGGTAATGAAAGTGTTCTAATATCATTTGTGGTGATGTTTGCCCAACACTGAATATACAAAATCACTCAGTTGTACACTTTAAATTTTGAATTGTAGGGTATGTGAATTATATCTTAATAAAGCATTACAAAAAACTCTACCACATATAAATTAAAATGGAATTCTAAAAATATTCAAGAAATGGAAAGGACAGGAATGAAAAATAGAAGGAACATGCAGTGTTCAACACAATAAATTAGAAATCTTAAATCTTAACAGTCATAATTACATTAAATGTAAATGGTGTAAACACACCAATAAAAAGGCTGAGATAAAAAAGAAGACTCAATTATATGCTATATATAAAAAACTCACTTAAAATACAATAACATAGGAGGCTAAAAGTAAAAGAATGAGCAAAACTGTAATAAACAAATACTAACGAAATGAAAGCTGGAGTTAAGTATATTAATAGCTAATAAGGTAAACTTTAGAGAAAAGACAATTACCAGAAAAAAAGAGATATTATATAACAATAAAAGGGTCAATTTACCAAGAATACATAAAATTCCTAAATGTATATGTACTAAATCACGGAGCTTCAAAACACAGGCAGCAAAAACTGATAGAATAGAAACACTTGAAAACACAATTATAATTGGTAACTTCAACACTCTTCTCTCAGTAATTGCTAGAATCACTAAAATGAAAATCAGTAAGGACACAGAAGAACTGAACACTGAAATAAAGCAACAGGATCTAACTGTTATTTATTTAACACTTCATCTAATGACAGCCAGGAATACAGTCTTTCAAAACACCCATGGGACCTTCACCAAAATATACAATATACTGGGTCATAAATGAACACCAACAGATTTAAAGAACTAAAGTCATACAAAGTGTATTATCTGATGACAATGTAATTAAACTAGAAATCAGTAACAGAATGATAACAGGAAAAAGAAAATATTTAAAATAATCCATGGGTTAAAGAGAAAATCTCAAGGGAAATTAAAAAGCATGATTAAATTAATAAAAACATATTGTTGTAAGGTTCTTGAACCACACATGAAGGAAGCTTAGAAGGAAATATATAGTAATGAATGCTTTTAATTAGAATAGAAGAATAGTTTCAAATCAGTTATCTATGCTTCTACCTTAGAACACTAAAACAGAAGAGCAAATTTAACCCAAAACAAGCAGAAGGAAGTACATAAGAAAAATAAGAACAGAGAGCAATTACATTAAAATCAGAAAGAAACAGAGAAAATCAATGAAGCTAAAAGTTGGTTCTTGGAAAATTAAATTAATAAATCTCTAATCAGATTGATCATTAAAAACAGAGCAGACATAAATTCCCAATATCAAGAATGATATCATTACAAAGCCCGCAGATATTAAAAGGCAAATAAGAAAATGTCATAAGCTACAAACTCACAATTTAAGTGAAATGGACAAATTCCTTGGAAGATATACTCCTTCAAAATCCGTTTAAGATGTAGATACTCTCAACAGTACTTGTGGTAGGATAATTCTAAGATGGCATTCAAGACTTCCAGCCCCTGGTATACATGCCCTGTATGGCCCCCTCCTCTTGAGTGTGGGCAGAACTACGATGTCACTCCCATGATTAGGTTTTGTTATGTGGTAAATGTGAAGGGATTTTGCGGATGTAATTGTCTCTTAATCATTTAACTTCAAGTTAATCAAGAGAGATTAGTTTGGGTTGCTTTGATCTAATCAGGTGAGCCTTTCAAAAGAGTGTCTAGAGGTCAGAGGTAGAAATTGGAAAGATTTGAAGCAGCAGAGACACTTTCCTGCTGGCCTTGGAGAAGCAAAGTGCCATGAATT